GGAAGCAGCCCGTGACAGCTGACTAACACCCAGGTACCTATTTTACTGCTAGGTAACAGGGGGGCATAGGGTGAAACTCTGCCCATTGTTTCTCGCCGGCGCCTGGGATCGAACCCAGGACCACAGGATCACAAGTCCAGCGTGCTGTCCACTCGGCCGACCGGCTCCCGATGATGGCATGAGGGGGGAGGAATGATGGGGAGAGAGGGGGAGAAGAAAAGGGAGGAGGGTAGTGAGCATTCACACAAAAGACATTAGTCCAAGATATTATCATAACACAGCCTCAAGACTAACACAAACTGGTGATACGTATCTTCTGAGCCCTTGTCAAAGCCACTCCCATTTCTCTGCGTTCTCACCCCAAGGCTCCGGACCGTCCATCTGTCCATCTTGGTTTAAAGGAGAGACGAGATGATAAAGATGAGATGCAGCAGCATCAGAAGACGAGTGTAAAGATGAAAAGATAAATCACTATCTTGAAGAGATGAATAAAGATGAGATTCAACATCACCAGGTGGTAATGATAAAATTGAGATGCAGCATCACTAGCACGTAAAGAGAAGGATAAGGAGAAGCAGCATTAAAGGAAGCAGAATAAGTAGCAAGGGAAGGAGCAGTTGAATTACGTCAGGAAGAAAAGATAGAAATGGAAGAAAGGGGAATAGAGAGAAATAAAATTGCCTTAGGTAGAGATGGGATGAATAAGTATTTACAAGCAGAAGGAGGTGGAATAAAGAAAAAAAGAACGAGAATCAGGAAAAAAAACTATATAAAATAATCACAAGAACGAAAAATTGTGGAAGTTCAGTAAGAGTCATAAATACGACACATTCAAAAGTCAAGAAAGAAAATACATTTCGTATTAATTTCCATATTACATCGTTCATCCGTGGCCAGAAGGTAGTGTTCGTAGACAAGGTAAACTATTATCCTATATTAGTATTCTGCAAGTTAGTGATGGCTTTGTTGTGTGACCATTTATCATGTTGATTTACACACAGTTACGAAGGCAGCGACTAGGGATGCATATGTTTCGTTCAGTCGACTATTGCAAAAGCAACGTTGCAAACCGTGCATAAAAGGATTGACGACTGTTTAGGCAGCCAATGCAAATAAAAAAAGTCCTATTATAACTACAAATAAATATATATACCGGTAAGTATTCGACTCACATAATCACGCTATATCATCTTTATTAAATAAACCACGTAGGAAATTTGAAAAAGACTAAATATTGTGATTTTTCAAGCTTCATATGTGATTATTCGCGCATTAATATACATGAATGCTCGCAAATACATTATATATATTTGATTTCATTCACCCTGAGCACCAGGAGCCTCGAACCCATGACTCCCAGTATGAGAAGTAGACTGCACTACTGGGCTACCACTAAAAGTGAAGTATCCTAAGGCAACTAACTGCTACCCAATTAAACTTAGCTGATCCATGATCCATAGTCATATATATATATATATATATATATATATATATATATATATATATATATATATATATATATATATATATATATATATATATATATATATATATATATATGTCGTACCTAGTAGCCAGAACTCACTTCTCAGCCTACTATTCAAGGCCCGATTTGCCTAATAAGCCAAGTTTTCCTGAATTAATATATTTACTATAATTTTTTTCTTATGAAATGATAAAGCAACCCTTTTCTCTATGTATGAGGTCAATTTTTTTTTATTGGAGTTAAAATTAACGTAGATATATGACCGAACCTAACCAACCCTACCTAACCTAACCTAACCTATATTTATAGGTAAGGTTAGGTTAGGTAGCCAAAAAAAGCTAGGTTAGGTTAGGTTAGGTAGGTTAGGTAGACGAAAAAACATTAATTCATGAAAACTTGGCTTATTAGGCAAATCGGGCCTTGAATAGTAGGCTAAGAAGTGCGTTCTGGCTATTAGGTACGACATATATATATATATATATATTATATATATATGTATGTATAATAATATGTATATGTATAATATGTATAAATGAATGCTCATTCAGATCCCATCGAAAGGCGTTGGTTGCTATAGACAGCAGGACGGTGGCCATGGAAGTAGGAATTAATCGTCGTGACACAATACAGAGGCGCTGCTTTGAAGGCCTCTCGAGCCTCACGACGTGCGCGATTACGGGCGCTCTCGCCTAATGCTACGTATGTCTAGCAGAATGCAAGTTCGCCTCGCGCACCGGACCCGAGATGCCGCAGCGTGTGCAGTGACAGTTCTCAGTTTGCATCGAGCATCGGGATCATGCTCTTGCGGGAAGGAGGATGATGGGGGGTTGTGTGGAGAGAGAGCTGCTGCCGAAACAAACTACTCACTCCAGGGAGGAATTGAAGGCAATTCTCGAGCCACACGACATGCGCGAGTTTCACCGACCGTCTTCACCGACTGTTACGTATGTCTAACAAATGAACAAGATCGGTCGCACGCGCACACCGGACCCCGAGGTGCCTGGGCTCTGGAACCACACGATATTATATATATATATATATATATATATATATATATATATATATATATATATATATATATATATATATATATATATGTATATATATATATATATATATTATATATATATATATATATATATATATAATATATATATATATATATGTCGTACCTAGTAGCCAGAACGCACTTCTCTGCCTACTATGCAAGGCCCGATTTGCCTAATAAGCCAAGTTTTCATGAATTGTTTTTCGACTACCTAACCAACCTAACCTAACTTTTTCGGCTACCTAACCTAACCTATAAAGATAGGTTAGGTTAGGTAGGATTGGTTAGGTTCGGTCATATATCTACGTTAATTTTAACTGCAATAAACAAAATTGACCTCATACATAATGAAATGGGTAGCTTTATCATTTCATAAGAAAAAAAATTGAGAAAATATATTAGTTCAGGAAAACTTGGCTTATTAGGCAAATCGGGCCTTGCATAGTAGGCCGAGAAGTGCGTTCTGGCTACTAGGTACGATTATATATATATATATATATATATATATATATATATAGAATATATATATATATATATATATATATATATATATGCGGAAAATCCACAGAGAAATATGAAATGAGGTGAACGTTTCGGCTTTGTTAAAGCCTTTGTCAACACCAGACTGACTGACCAGCTATAAACTATTATAGATATCTATAATTCAGTCAGTCTGGTGTTGACAAAGGCTTTAACAAAGCCGAAACGTTCACCTCATTTCATATTTCTCTGTGGATTTTCCGCATAAAATGATCAGTGTTTTGTGATCGTCAATTGCATATATATATATATATATATATATATATATATATATATATATATATATATATATATATATATATATATATATATATATATAATGATTTAGACATCCTTCCGTGACTTGCCCAAACACACACACTAAAACCAACATTACACAAACTGCTCAACACATCAAATTAGGCAAAGTTTTTCCATTCAGACCTTGACAAAATAGCCCCAACCAACTTGGACGGTTCACGCTGCAGACACTGGCAGAATAATACAACATGGCAGAGGTGTCAGAGAGTAATTGTTGCCTTGCAACTTTGCACTTGGCAAAAGTGAGCGAAGCGTGAATGTGTGAGAGGCCAGATGTGTCAAGCTTAGCTGGACAGCTTGAGGAAAGATTACATAGAAGGCGGATGTGGTTGGTATGCGCATGGACACAGTCGCAGGTTGCAAGCATGCATGTTGCAATTGGAGTTTGTCATGTTTGGCTGTGTGTGTGTGTGTGTGTGTGTGTGTGTGTGTGTGTGTGTGTGTGTGTGTGTGTGTGTGTGTGTGTGTGTGTGTGTGTGTGTCATTTTGAAGAGTCTCGCATAAGGAGAGAGACAACGTGTATGACACTTGTATAATACTTTAGTTGATATTTAATTACAATATAGTATGGGGAGAGAGGGAGAGGGAGGGACAATAGGAGAGGGAAAAAGAGAGGGGAGAAAGAGGGGGGGGAGAAAGATATGGGAAGAGAGAGGGGGGAAAAAGAGAGGGCTAAAAAGAGCTATAAACTACTATACTAGTTTACTACTATAAACTACTAAACTATAAACTCACAAGTACAGGGTGAACAATAAACTACCACTCACATGTGTAGGGTGCACAATAAACTACCACTCACAAGAATAGGGTGAACAATAAACTACCACTCACAGGTATAGGGTGCATAATAAACTAGCCGCCTCTGCCGGCAAGGATCACATCGAAGTACTGACATTCCTCAGAACAGCAGACTCGTAACAGCTGCGCCTGTCTCGGGCATTTGTTTACTGCTTCGTGGACAGACAGACAGAGGCATTTGGCGAGAGGCAGCGTGGCTAACCATTCCTGTCCCTGAGAATCAAACCCGGGATTCGACCGATTATGAGTCAAGAACGAAGCCTACTGTGCTACGAGACCCAGATATCTATAATGCTTGAGAGACAGCAATCAACACATCTTAAAAACAATACAAGTATTGTACACGAATAAAATGTTATTTCATCAATCAGAACTAGCTGAATATTTTTGGGTTTGGACGATTGAAAAATACCAGAAAATTTTAATATAAATTCTGGTACTTAAAGATCATTTTGTAGTGAATGCTCATTTCTAATGACACCATTTAAATAAAATTTTATGTACATTACACGGTAAATTTTCTGTTTACATAGAGTAAAATCTTGAAGGAATTCTCTGGCACTTCTTTCAATGGCAGCCTTCTTCCTTCACTCGGACGTAGCCCACTCTCACTCTTCAGGAATTCTTCCTTGGACCTCACGTCCCTCGAAGATCACCCCTCCCTCGCTTCCTCAGGAATCTTTTCTCGATATTCCTCATTTCTCTTTCATTTATACCTCATTTCTCAGGTATTCTTCCTTTTTTTCCTAAGTCACCCCTTGACTACTTATCACCATTCACTCCTACTTTTTGTGCATTCAACAGGTAACATTCCGAAGACACAGATACCTTCGAAATACCTCTTCGTCGATGGTGTCCCGAAGAGCTTCTTTGGCAGAGTATCTTTTCCCACTTAGGGAAGCAGCTTCAATACTCCTCTTCATCTTAGTCGAATCAGAATACTGTTTCATATGCATATCTTTCCTACATGCTGGGTTCACTATGTCACTTCCTTCCCATTCTGGGGTCACAGCATACAACCTCTCTCACATACTGGGGTCACACCATGTCTCCTCCCTCCCATACTGGGGTCACAGCATGTCTCCTCCCTCCCATACTGGGGTCACACCATGTCTCCTCCCTCCCATACTGGGGTCACACCATGTCTCCTCCCTCCCATACTGGGGTCACACCATGTCTCCTCCCTCCCATACTGGGGTCACACCATGTCTCCTCCCTCCCATACTGGGGTCACACCATGTCTCCTCCCTCCCATACTGGGGTCACACCATGTCTCCTCCCTCCCATACTGGGGTCACACCATGTCTCCTCCCTCCCATACTGGGGTCACACCATGTCTCCTCCCTCCCATACTGGGGTCACACCATGTCTCCTCCCTCCCATACTGGGGTCACACCATGTCTCCTCCCTCCCATACTGGGGTCACACCATGTCTCCTCCCTCCCATACTGGGGTCACACCATGTCTCCTCCCTCCCATACTGGGGTCACACCATGTCTCCTCCCTCCCATACTGGGGTCACACCATGCCACCTCCCTCCCATACTGGGGTCACACCATGCCACCTCCCTCCCATACTGGGGTCACACCATGTCTCCTCCCTCCCATACTGGGGTCACACCATGTCTCCTCCCTCCCATACTGGGGTCACACCATCCCACCTCCCTCCCTCCCTTCCCATCGCCCCAGGTAGCCCAAGTGGGTGATGGAAGGGGGTGAGCCGCTCCTTTTGGACCAACAAGTGTGTTGTAAAAACTAAGTCATGGGGAGGGGTGCTAGAGAGAGATGGAAGGGGGAAAGGAAAGGGCAGAGGAGGGGTGAGAGGGAGTGTAGGGTTTACGGGACGGATGGAGGGTGAACAGCGATCGATACCACCCACAATACTACACACACACGGAGAGTGAGAGAGAAAAAAAGTGCCAAAAATCCAACTCCCTTGACTCAAAAGACACGATATTATAGTCTATCCACTGTAAGTCTATTTCAAACACCTCCAGAGGCAAATCCAACATCCCTTCGTGTCAGTCTCACTCATTTGGAGACAATATCTCTCTCTCCGGTACAGGGAAAAGAAAGAAAATGGGAAAAAACCTGGAGCGAGTTCCGGCAGAAGAGACAGAAGTCACTTGGCCCCCCCGAGACGGCCCGCCACGAAGTTCAAGATCACGGTCTTGGCCACAACAGCGATCCCCATGACATCTAGTGGTGCTTGTGAGAACCCGAACCAGAGCGCGTCGCGATACATGGTGTGACCACCGTCTTTGAGCTTGAAGCCACTTCTCCCTTGCCCTAAAACTCACAAATTAGCTACTGGCAAGTTCCGCTGATTAGCTAGAGATATTGCATACTACTACCAGCATCATCAGACGGAAGATCATCGTCGAAAGATAACCATTAAGAAAATCTTTTGTTTTGAAAAGAGGAAACGAACATTTTAAAGTTAAAGAGAAGTGGCTGCAATGTCTGGTTTTTCCGACAACTTTTGAAGGGTTGCAAGGACGTGACCTTGGCCAAGACTTGGAGGATGCTGACCTTGCTGGCCCAGACTAACACCTCCTCCACTTTTATCTTGGGAGGAAGTTGAAGCTCCTCTTCATCTTAGCTGTCAGGCAATTACTGACCCGAAAATTTAGCCTGGGTCATTGGCAACAGTGTGTGTGTTAGTGGTGAATGGAGATATTTATTTTAGGCGTAATTATTCTATAAAAAACTAATATGTGTTTGTGAATGTGTATTTATTATATATATTTATTATTTGGGTCTGCAGAATCGAGCTATTAGCTCTTGGACCCCGATCTAAACAATCTATTTTTACTCCATTATATCTACTATATATATCTCACTCTACTACACACACACATCCCCAGGAAGCAGCGCGTAGCCTAACTCCTAGGTACTTATTTACTGCTAGGTGAACAGGTGCATCAGGGTGAAAGAACATTTGCCCATTTGTTTCCGCCTCGGCCGGGAATCGAACCTGGGTCCTTAAGGACTATGACCCCTGAGCACTGTTTACTCAGCCGCGAGGCACCCCCCCCTTCGCGGCCCCACATACACACACACACACACACACACACACACACACACACACACACACACACATCACCCCCTCCCCCTCTCACTCACCCCCCCACCCCCACACACAGCTTCCCAACATCTGCTAAAGTCCCAAACACAAATCCACTTCCTCTAACTCAATACACATTTCAGACTCCCTTCTCGCTCGCTGCCTCTCGATGCCAGCAAACTCACTTGGCCAATCAAAATATTCCATTTTCCTAAACGGCCTCAAACATGCAGAGTGCCTCTCGAGAGTTGCAATTTTCTCTACTTGGATTGTCAGTGTTGCTGCGTCAATTGCACATTGCAAGAGGAAAAACTATCAGGCCTGAAAGGGCTTTTTTTCCGCTGACGTGTTGTAAATTTCCTTACTGCTTTTTTCTTATGCAGTTTGTGGAAAATTTTTCGTTTACATGTTAGATTGGGGATTTTTTTTTTACATACGTATATATCACATGTACGTATGTATGGTTATCTTGAGATGATTTCGGGGCTTTAGTGTCCCCGCGGCCCGGTCCTCGACCAGGCCTCCACCCCCAGGAAGCAGCCCGTGACAGCTGACTAACACCCAGGTACCTATTTTACTGCTAGGTAACAGGGGCATAGGGTGAAAGAAACTCTGCCCAGTGTTTCTCGCCGGCGCCTGGGATCGAACCCAGGACCACAGGATCACAAGTCCCGCGTGCTGTCCGCTCGTTTGGTTTGGTTTGTGCATGTATTATATATCTATATATATTGGGATCCAACTGTTGTCTGATGCAGTGCTTTCGGGATCCTTGAGCTTCAGCTCTTTGGACCTGCCTCTCAACCTCAAATCTACTTAAGTACAGATTCTCTGACCCCTTCTTCGGGTAGAGCAGTGTAGTGTCTACATTTAAGGATTTGTATAGTGTGTACTTTCACCACGGCACTTCTTTGTTCACTTCTATTGGTCACTATAAAATATATATGTGGCCCATTCTGGTAGTTTCCACCTGTGAGAAAATGACTGGAGCAGGACGTGGAGAACATCAGCGTTCTGTGTAGCCCCAGACACACACACCTCACACCATAATCCACGCCCACTGGCCAATCACTTAGGCTGGACGGTAGAGTGACGGTCTGGCTTCATGCAGGTCGGCGTTCAATCCCCGACCGTCAACAAGTGGTTGGGCACTATTCCTTTCCCCCGTCCCATCCCAAATCCTTATCCTGACTCCTTCCAAGTGCTATTTAGTCGCAATGACGGCACTTTCTCCTGACTTTTTTTTATAATGGACTACGTCATCTGCTAATAATTTTCTCATTGATTCATCAGGTTATTGTGATCTCCTTTTGTATTTTCACCCGTGTCCTCATATTTGTCAACCCGTTCTCGGAAATTTAATAAGTCAATATTGACTTATTAAATATGTGCATAGGTGATATACTAAACATAATAGATACCCCTAAAAAGATTCATAGAAAACACCGACCTTACCTAACCTTGTTAGTATCTTAAGATAAGCATCTTATTGCTTCGTAATTACAATTATTACTTAACCTATACCTATTATAGGTTAGGTAATAATTGTAATTATGAAGCAATAAGATGCTTATCTTAAGATACTAACAAGGTTAGGTAAGGTCGGTGTTTTCTATGAATCTTTTTATGGGTATCTATTATGTTTAGTATATCACCTATGCACGTAGTTAATAAGTCAATATTGACTTTACGAATTTGCGAGAACGGGTTGTATTTGTTCACCACCCATGTTAATAATCTATACCTCTGCTGGCGAGGAGTCACAATAACGTGGCTAAAGTATGTTGACCAGACCACACACTAGAAGTTGAAGGGACGACGTCGTTTCGGTCCGTCCTGGACTATTCTCAAGTCGATTGTCACAATCGACTTGAGAATGGTCCAGGACGGAGCGAAACGTCGTCGTCCCTTCACCTTCTAGTGTGTGGTCTGGACAACGACGACACAGTCTTCTGCTGCTTAGGTACTCTCTTCACACTACAGCACATTCCCTCTCATTCCTGTTCTGCTTTTCCAGCTTGTAAACTAATCTCACGTTGAATACAGTATTCAAGGCTTTACGAATATCCCAAAAAATACACAGACTCCCCCAACTGCTCTGCCTTGAATGATCTCTGTCGACAGTCATACAATTTTATAAAGTGTATGAGGCAAGATTTGCATAGTTATACATGAAGGGACACTGGTCTCTATTTTAGCACCTCCTATCTGTCATACTTTTTGTATATTGGCATTTTTGGCCTCAGTCCAACTCACTGGTACTTCAGTTTCCAGCGACTTGTTATGTATGACAGTATGTAACAAATACAGGGCTGTGTGTATGAATGTATGTTTATATGTATGCATGTATGGTTTACACGTATGATTGCATGTTTGTGTGTTCATATGAATGAATTTGTTTTTATATGTATATACGGATGTATATTTGTATAAATGAATATATCTTACTATGTATGAATGTATGTTTATATGTATTAATCTGTTCCTTTCCCTTTCACACTGTTTCCCCTCATCATTACCTCTCATACCTAACATTCTTCCTTCCCACACTCTTCCTCCTACCGTCCCTCTTCGTCCTCTTTTTATCCCTCTAGTGTTCACTCTTCCATCCCCCTTCTCTAGAGACCTTTCTTTCCTGGCGTCCCCACCTAATCCCCCTGTTCCCCCTTAAAAAAAAGACGTTCCCAACTCTCTCTCACTTTCTCCCTGTGCACCCCCTTCCCCATTCATATATACTCTATTCCCCTCCCCTTCTTGCTGCCCCATATTACCCCTCTTCCCTTCAATGTAACCCATTATTAACCCATTTTCCCACAGCCTCCTACCTCTTTAACCCCTTAAACAAGTATCATTTATTACT